GGTGGGGGGGGCGCAGGCCCGGCCAGTCTACGCCCCCTGGCCACTCCCCAGCCCTCGCTGCGCGTCTTCACCCTGCAGACTGGGCACGGCTGAGACCCCCCATTGCCCTGTTTGTGCCGTGGGGTGCTCTGGAGAGGCGCTGGCCAGGCCTGCCTGCTACCACAAGGGGTCTTAGCCTTAGCCCATGGGGGATGCCTACCGCATACCCTGTCCCCTGTGATCATTCTTGAATATTCTCCGGGGCCCTGGCTTCCCCGGGGACCAGAAAGGCCTATGGTATGGGACTGGCTGGTGTTTCCACATGAGGCAGCCATGGAGCAGCGGCCTGGCCTGCCAAGCTCCTGGTTGGAGAGCCGGCTTGGCTGTAGTGGCCTGGTCAGCCAGAAGGAGCTCATGTAGCACATCCTTGCATCGGACTTACGCAAGGCCCGCCCACGCACAGCCGCAGTACAGTGCTCTGTGAGGCTGACCCACTGGAGGATCCGGTTCGCGCCCCAGAACCCCTCTGAACAGGCCTGCCCACACCTGCGCCAGGGCTGGCTGGGCTGGAGGCAGATCACAGCAGGGGGACCCTGAGGCGTGCTATCTCTCTCTGTCTTTCTGTCTCTCCCTCTTCCCCGAGGGGAAGTGAATGAACCTCAAAGGTCACTTGTGACTGGACCCACCAGCCCCACCCTGGTGCCATGCTAAGCTGAAAGGCCAGGCCTGCCAAGGGGCTGCAGAGGACCTGCTAGGTCCTAACCCAGGGGCCCTGAAACCCAGCTCATCTGCGCTCCCCTCTGCTTCCTGACCACATGCCCAAAGCCCTTTTCTCTCCTCCGCATCAAACACCCTTGACCTCACAGGCTCTCCTGGGTCCTTTCAGTGAAGACTTGGACTCTGGCTGTTTCATTCGCTCCTGCTGGCCACAGAGCTGCAGCCCTCTGGGTAGCCAAACTGGTGTGCCTCTGGACTTGAGATGAGGAGGCAGAGCACGGTCACCAGCCACACATGTCACTGTGGGTCACAGCCAGCCACAGCCAGGCCCATGTGGCGCTCAGTGCTGCCTTTTCACTGGAGGGGCCGTGGCTTAGCGAGCACCTGGTCCTGAGCTCATGGCTGCCTGCGCTCGAGCGGGCCCTGTGTATGCTGGCAGCCACCGCGGGAGGGGTCCCCTGCTCTCGGCTTCACTGCTGGGGTGCCCAGGGACCAGCCGCAGGCACTAGAGCAGCACGCAGCGCACGGTCGTTGAGTGGGCTTCTCCTTCTTCCTTCCCTGTAGTGGAAGAAACATTGGTTTGTCCTGGCCGACCAGAGCCTGAGATACTACAGGGACTCGGTGGCTGAGGAGGTGAGTGCCTTGGCTGTACCTCTGGAGCAAGCCGGAGAGGCCCAGGAGGCCTCCTTCCTGCTGCTGGTTTCCGGGCTGTGTCTGCCATCTGTCTGTGTGGCCATCTTAGGTCTCCCGGCCTGGACCTGCTGGGAAAGTGAGCACTAGACAGTCGATGTCCTGGGCCGACACTCCTGCCTGGGCTCTCGGCTCTGTCGGGGCCCTGCATTAGGGACCTGGGTGCAGTGGATTTGGGCAGCTTTTGTTCCTTAAAAAACACTGAGATTTTAAAACTCAAGATGAGCAGTTATGTTTTTTTTCTCCAAGAGGATCTTGTGGTGAATTGAGTGGTTGGAAGAATTGTCCTAAATCTTGTCCTCTGTCTTCTGGACAAGGATGGGATGTGACAGATGAACTTGAGTGGATCCTTGACCATCCTGATTACACAGTCAGAGAACAGCCAGAAAATGGAGGGCCCTTTTTTTTTCCATCTACAAAAGAATCCTTTATGAACCATTTGGCTAAACTGTATTCTACCCTGGCAGTTTGGCTGCAGGAACACAAGAGGTGTGTTCAGAAGTGAAGGGAAAAGGGGCCAGCAGTTAGTGTAATGGCTATGTCGCTGGACTCCCACGTAGTCGACCGCGGTTCGCGTCTCGGACCCGGCAGCCTAAAACTCACACCGGGCGCGTGTGCGTGCGTGCCCAAGATCCCGAGAGGAGAATGGAGGAGAAGGGATTGCAGCGTGGCCATCCTCCCTGGGGGGTGATTTTTCACTTTCTATCTCTCTGTCTCTGTCTGTCTGTCTGGCGAGCGCACGCGCCCTATAGCAAAAACCTCTACAAAAAAAAAAAAAAAAAAAGAAGTGAAGGGAAAATACATATAATGAAAAAACTATACATGGGTTTCAAATTGTTTGCACCAAAAAGAACTTGCACTTTAACTCCATTTCCCTGAAAAGTTGTGAAGTCTCCTTGTACTTTGACTCTGTTCCCACAAGTAGGTGAGGTCTGTGTCTCAGGTTAGTCTCCCCCATTTAGCAGACGATTAGAAAGAACCCAAATAGCCACTGCGGGGGGCTGGTGTGTGTACTTTTAAATACTCCAAGCCGGCTTTGTGGACTGGGGGGGAAGTTGTCAGTGGTAAGAGATAAGTTCTAACAGTGTGGGTGGCAGGCCACTGTTAGGATGTAAAACCAGGGAATAGAGGAGCAGACATGGGCCAGCAGGTGGCATGGCGGTTAATGGCACTGGATCTCACGTGGCCGACTCCGTGGTTCGAGTGGCCTGAAAAAGCACATTAGGCATGTGTGTGTGAATTCCTAAAATCCCAAGAGGAGGCTGGAAGAGTGGGGATTACAGCGTGGCCATCCCTCCCCAGGGAGTGATTTCTTTCTCTCTCTTTCCCCACCCCCGCCCCCTGTATCTGGCAAGAGCATGTGCCCTATTGCAAATTGGGAAAAAAAAAAAAAAAAAATGAAGGGAGCAGAGTAAGGTGTTTGGTTATATGTGCATAGAGTGGCAGATCTGAGTGTGATCTGTGGACCCCCAGCATCCTTTCAGGAGAACTGTGATGATCCAAACTTTGTTCTTAGTATTAAGATGCCAGTGACTTTTTTTTTTTTTTTTGGAGAAGTTTTTACTATAGGGTGTATGCATTCGCCAGAGAGACAGAGACAGACAGACAAAAAGGGAGAAATCACTGCCCAGGGTGGACGGCCACGCCGCAGTCCCTTCTCCTCCATTCTCTTCTCGGGATCTTGGGCACACACCCACACGTGTCTGGTGTGAGTTTAAGCCACTGGCTCCAGGACTTAAACCACGTTTGACTACATGGGAATCCAGTGACATAGCCATTACGCTCACTGCTGGTCCTGCCAATGACTTTTTAAAAATGTTCTGACATTGCACCAATTGCAGGTGACACTGCTAGGACCTTATGTAGCCCAGTCTCCCACGAGAGACTGCCAGTCGTATTCCCATGTCCTTCAGTGCTGCCGCACATTTATAGCCTTTAAAAGGGGCAGGGGGGTAACCAGCAGTTAGCGTAATGGCTATGTCGCTGGACTCCCACGTAGTCGACCGCGGTTCGCGTCCCGAACTTGGTGACTTAAAACTCACGCTGGGCGCGTGTGCGTGCGTGCCCAAGATCCCGAGAGGAGAATGGAGGAGAAGGGATTGCGGCGTGACCGTAATCACCCCTGGGGGGTGATTTCTTGCTTTCTGTCTCTCTGTCTCTGTCTGTCTGTCTGGCGAGCGCACACGCCCTATAGCGAAAACCTCTCCAAAAAAAAAAAAAGGGGGGGGACGGGGGTAACTGGTGGCATGGTGGTTTAAGACAGCTGGATTCTACATTGCAGGTTTTGCAGTTTGAGTCCCAGAACTAGCAACTTGAAAAACATGCTGGGTATGGCGTGTGGGTGCCCAAAATCCTCAGAGGAGATGGATGAGAAGGGATTGCAGCCTGGCCAACCCCCCTGAGAGGGGGAATGATTTCTCATTCTTTCACTCTCTCTGGCTCTCTCTGGCTTTTTTTCCACTGAGCATATGTACTCTATTGTAAAATAAAAAAAAAAAAAAAGGTCAGCTCCATGACCTGGTAGGTTCAGGAGGCTAGAGCCCGTGGGGCTGATCACACAGTTCGAGTCCTAGACCCAGTGGCTGGAGAAACACACCAGGCACAAGTGTGTGCATGGCCAAATCCCAGCTGGATGGAGAAATGGAAGAGGGGATTGCGACATGACCCAGCGTGGCCAACCACACAGAGAAGAGGGCGGGCTCATGCAGAAAGAGGAAACAGAATTCCCACTTCCTCTGTTTGTCCCTCCCACCCCCACCTCACCCCCACTCCAGCTGATTGGATGATGATGCCCTCCCATTAGGCCTCACCACTTCCCAAAGCTTTACACTGGGGACTAGGTGTCCCCAAACCAGTCTTAGGGACAAACCATTATCCAAACTTACAGCAGGCTCATACCATAGGATGGGGGTGGCTTGTGGGAGAGCACCGTGTGATTGCTGGAGTTACCAGCTTTTTTTTTTTTTTTTTTTTTTTTTTTGTGTGGTTTGCTATAGGGTGCGTGTGGTCGCCAGACAGAGAGAGACAGAGAGATAGAAAGCGAGAAATCACCCCCCAGGGGGGATGGCCACGCCGCAATCCCTTCTCCTCCATTCTCCTCCATCCCATCTCTCGGGATCTTGGGCACCCACGCACACGTGCCCGGCGAGAGTTTTAAGCCACTGGGTCTGGGACGCGAACCGCGGTCGACTACGTGGGAGTCCAGCGACCTAGCCATTACTCTAACTGCTGGTTCCCAGGAGTTACCAGCTTAACTGGCACTTCTTCCTGGAAAACCATCTTTACTTGGAAAAGCAACCGATGGTTTTTCAGTTTGGGTGTTTGGCAGGCGTTTCATGAAAATGAACCAAGTGACCCATTCCTACCAGGGAAATAACTGGCAGAGTTCGTTTTCAGTGGTACAGTTTGAACTTTCAGACAAAGAAATCGAACTTTGGGAACCGTATTCCTCACCAGGGACTCAACAGCTTCCCTTTATTGCAGACTCGCCTGGTGAAGGAAGTGCCGGTACGGTGGTGTTTTGATCATGCATAATGAAATTCGCACAAGTGACTGCTACTTTATGTCTCCAGATATGCAGAGGCAAAAGATGCATCCAGGAGGTGGGCTGTAGCAGTGGCTTTAGGGAGCAGGGGACAGAACGCTCATTGGAAGGGTTTCAGACCCACACTGCAGTTGACCTTTAAGAAGCAAGCACTTGTCAAGGAACAGCAGCAATTGCCCGAGGAGGCTATTAAAATGCTTCCTTTCCAGCTTTGTACCTGTGTGGGATCAGACTGTCCTCCTGTTTCTTTTCCTTTTTTTTTTTTGAGAGGTTTTTGCTTTAGGGCATGTGCACTTCCCAGAAAGACAGAGAGCTAGAAAGCGAGAAATCACCCCCCAGGGGGGATGGCCACGCTGCAATCCCTTCTCCTCCGTTCTCCTCTCGGGATCCTTGGGCACGCGCGCACACACACACATGCGCGTCTGACGTGAGTTTAAGCCACCGGGTCCGGGACTAGAACTGCGGTTGACTTCATGGGAGTCCAGCGACATAGCCATTACACCGACTACTGGTCCTGCCTCCTATATTTCAACCAAAACCATATAAGGGGTCTTCAAGAAGTTCATGGAAAGTTCATGGAAAGTCTTCAAGAAGTTCATGAAAAAAAGCTATGCATAGATTTTTAAAATGTTTGCACCAAAATAAACTTGCGCTAACTTGTTACAACATGTCTGAACGGGATCTAATTTGAGTCACTAAGGATAAGACGCCAGTCTGAAGAGAGCCCCTACGAGAGCTCTGAAGCAAGAACATCAAGTGTGTGGTGAGCGTGGGAGGAGTAGCAGTGAAATCACTGATGTTTAGCGGTGAGGTTTATAGGTGCAGTGGCTCAAAGAAACGAGCCATTGCTAAAGAGATTACTCGTTTTAGGGAGGGATGAGATGCTGTTGACAATCCTCACAGAGGGAGACCATCTACATCAGTTTGCAGGGAAAACATTAACCTCGTCTGCCCTGTATTGAAGGGTTGATTAACAGCAGATAGCCAACAGGTAGTGGAGTAAACCTGCTCAATGGGTACAGAAACCTTTGGGCCCAGACAAGCTGCAAACAGGAGCAGGGCTTTCAATGGAAAATTTAAACAAGTGTGATCAAGATCCTGAAGCAGGGGCCACCAGGTGGCGTGGTGCTTAAGGCACTGGATCCCACATGGCCAACTGCATGGTTTGAGTCCTGGACATGCTGGCTTGAAAAACATGGCAGGTATATGGGTATGTGTCCAAAATTCCAAGAGGAGAATGGAGGAGGAGGGATTGCAGTGTGGTCATCCCCTCTAGGGAGTGATTTATCACTTTCCCTCTCTCTGTCTGTCTCTTGTCTTTCTCTGATGAATGCATGCACTCTCTGGCAAAAATATTAAAAAAAAAAAAAAATCCTGGACATTCCTCGAAGAATTGTAAGAAGAGATGACACATGGCTTTCCCAGTATGGTCCTGAAGACAAAGCAAAAAAAATGGCTACCGTGACCACCAGATTGTGTAATGGTTACATCTCTGGACTCCCCCTGTAGTCAAACGTGGGTCCAGGTTCAGACCCTGGGCACGTGTGCGCATGTGCACAAAACCACAAGAGGAGAACGGAGGAGAAGGGACTGTGGCATGGCCATCCCCCTTGGGGAGTAACTTCTCGCTTTGTCTCTGTCTCTCTGGTGAGCACACACACCCTATAGCAAAAATCTCTCAGAAAACAAAAAAAAAAGGAAGTCAAAGTAAAAATGACTACCAAGAGGTGGGCCTGGTCTGATGAAAGCAAAAGTGGATTGGTCAGAGCACAGTCATGGCAGCAGTTGTGGGGAGCTCAAGGCGTTTTGCTTGTTGGCTCCCTAGGCGGCCTACGTGCTGTTACATGAGTGCTTTGAGGCAGTTAATACTGGAAAGCTTCGCCAGGGGCCACTGGGGAATCACCAGGCCTCACCTCTCAGTCCTCCTTCAGCTCTTGCTGGCTGCTTTTTGTTTCCTAATCTTTTGGGGTTTTTTTGAGTGGGGGAGAGGTTTTTGCTATAGGGCGCGTGCACTCACCAGAAAGAGAGAAACAGAAAGCGAGAATAGTCCCCCCACCCCGGGGGGGGGGGGGGGGGGGCACACCCCAAACCAAAAAAGCCACACCACAATCCCTTCTCCAGTCTCCTCTTGGGATCTTGGGCACACACGCACACGCGCCCGTGTTTCCTAATCTTAAAACAAAACCAAAATAAATGTAAGGGCACCCATTCTCCCTTCATTGACCATGCAACAAGGACTGCAGTGGCAGTTGCAGTCCTAGGACCTCCCGTTGTTGCAGAATGGGGTGAATGGCTGGTCCCGCCACCACTACACTCGATAGCTCTTATGTTGAGAAGTAAAGTTACATGTTTTAACTTTTATCTTTCATTCCATTTCCCCACGAGCTTTTTAAAGTCCCTTTGTGTTTAACAGATTGACCACAAGAACAGATAAGAGAATCCTGCTATCTTCTCAAGGTCTTAAGAGATTTACAAAAATTCAGAACAGCACAACTCATCTCCAATTCATCCTACTATGTTTTTATTTTAAAATTCATTTCTCTTGTTAAATGGAACAGTAAATGAAGTTTTCCATGTTAACTACTTTTTTTTTTTTTAGAGAGATTTTTGCGCGAGGGCATGTTTGCTTGCTGAGGAGACAGAGACAGAAAGCAAAAAATCACCCCCTAGGCGGAGATGGCCATGCTGCAATCCCCTCTACTCCATTCTCCTCTTGGGATTCTGAGCACAGGCACCTGGTGTGAGTTTCAAGCTGCCAGGTCTGGGACTCAAACCTCTGTCAATCACATGGGAGTCCAGCACCTTAACTACCATGCCACCCGCTGGGCCTCAATGTTAACTTTTAATAAGGTACTACAAGATAGGGACCAGCAGTTGGCGTAATGGCTATGTCGCTGGACTCCCATGTTAGTCGACTGCAGTTCGAGTCCCAGACCTGGTGGCTTAAACTCACGCCGGGCACATGTGCGTGCGTGCCCGAGATCCCGAGAGGAGAATGGAGGAGAAGGGATTGTGGCGTGGCCATCCCCCCTGGGGGTGATTTCTCGCTTTCTGTCTCTCTGTCTCTCTCTGTCTGTCTGGCGAGCGCACGCGCCCTATAGCGAAAACTTTTCAAAAAAAAAAAAGAATAATAATTTAAAAAATAAATAAATAAGGTACTACAAGATAAGATCAAGAGATTTTATCTCTTATGTCCACATACACAAACACTCTTCAGTTTTTAAGAGTGTAGTGGAGTCCTTGGAACCAGCAGATGGCATAATGGTTATGTCACTGAACTCCCACGTAGTTGACCGAGGTTTGAGTCCCGAAGCCAGTGGCTTAAAATTCGTGCCAGGTGTGTGTGTGTGTGTGTGTGTGTGTGTGTGTGTGTGTGCGTGCGTGCCCAAAATCCCAAGAGGAGAATAGAGGAGAAGGGATTGTGGCGTGGCCATTTCCCCTGGGGAGGTGGTGATTTTTCGCTATCTCTGTCTCTCCAGAAGGGCATGTGCCTATAGAAAAAAATCTCTTAACAGAAAATTTTAAAAGCACAACGGAATTCCAACATCAACGCGTTTGAGACCCACGGGCTCACACACTCCTGGCTGGCTACGTGGGAAAGGGTGGCGTGCCTACTTTCGGGAGGGGCCGTGGGCTGGACAGTGGCAGGATGGGTGGAGTTCTCAGCTGTATCACCCATGAAGAATAAAATCCAGGGGCAGCCCGTGGCCTGGTGTTCAAGGCAGCCAGATGCCACGTGGCTACCACATGGTTTGACTCCCAGACCCTGCAGTGAAATCCTAACAGGAAGGAAAAATGGAAGAGACGGGATTACGGTGTACGGTGTGACCACGTTCTACCAGAGAAAGAGCTGTCTGTCTGTTCCTCTCTCTCAAACCCATGTACTCTCTAGCAACGAAAAGAAAAGAAAATTAACCTCAAAAACAAGTTCACTCATGGAGACTTACTCCTCTCAGCATTTCTTGACCCTCCTAAGACCTTCCCCTTTTCCTCTGTAGGCAGCCGACTTGGACGGAGAGATCAACCTCGCTACGTGTTATGATGTCACCGAGTATCCGGTCCAGCGGAACTATGGCTTCCAGATCCATGTGAGCCCCGGGGGCTGGGAGCAGGGGCCGAGGGCCTGGCCAGCAGGGCCGTACCTCCCAGACCCAAACGTCCTGAGCGGGCTGTTTCTGGGCACGCCTGACCCCACCGAGGCAGCACTCAGGCTGTTGCGTTAGCACTGACGCCCGTCCTGTGGCACCTGATCCCTATCTGTGATCTGGACAGAAAGTTAGAATGAGCGTCTTTCTCCTCAAAATGATTTCAAAGCTTTTTTGTAGCTGAAGGGTTTTTCCTTTTTGTTTTTCTTTTTTTAACACGGGAGTTGGGGACAGTTGGGAGCTTATGAGATACGGAGAGTAAGGATGACAGTGTTTCTAATGGTTTGCCTCTCAGTGACGTCACTGCTGGGCTTTCTGGCTCCCGTCAGGTGAGGAGCTTAGAGTGAGGCTCTGTTCACCCACTCCTTTGTTCATTCTGTGCTCCTCACTCACATATCTGAGTCTTCTAGAATCTTGTGAGGGACTCCGGTAAGCAGGGGCCACCCCGCCCTCAAACAGAATGACTGGACAAGTGAAATGGCTCTCCCTTGCCGTCGCTTCATGCTCTGGGGGTTGACGGCTCCCTGGAAGCTGCCACTTGACACGACAGGCACAGCCCTCCCACTGTCACTTCAGACGCCAGTTACGAGGTCAGGGGTTCTAAGGCCACCTTAAGGTTCGGGCACTCTCTAGAGTAACTCACGGAACTCAGGAACACACAATGCTTACGACTAGTTTTATTATATCAAAACCGAGAACCAGAGGCTCATGGGGCAGAGTCTGTTACGGGGAGGTCCCAGACACAGGCTTTCTGGCCCAGGGACTTGAGAGCTGACACTGTGTGTGACACGTGTGTGTCAGTGCACAGACCACCTGAACCTCACTGTCCAGAGGGTGTTCTGGGGCTTCACCACTGTCTCGGCTGACCGACTCATCGTCCCTGCCATGGGACGCAATCTCCAGCCTGCCCCAGAGGCTGGCTGGGCCGCACAGCCCAGACCCCCGTCTAATTGGCCCTCTGAGCCGCCCTCACCGGAGTCACGTCAGCAACACAAGCTACCAAGAGGGGTCCCTGGGGCCCTCTGTGAGTAACAGACACTCGGGACATTACCAGGGGCATGGGTCATATCCTGATGCCCCGCTGGAAACGGCCCCTCCCCCTGCAGCTGCCATCTGAATGGTGGTGTCACCACCTTGCCCAGGCCCAAGTCTGGAATTGTTCCAAGGCTGGGGCCCCACTGGCTTCCTGTCCTGGCCTCCCCTTCCCTGTTACCACGTCAGTTCTCATCCCCTGAGTGACCACACAGCCCCCAGCAGGTCACCCACTGGCCCTCTGTCTTTAGGGTACCAGCGCCCTGCCCAGCCCTGTCCTACCCTCTGGGCCGGGATTCCCTGGAGAGGGCCACATGGCCCTGCGTCTACCCAGCAGGGGCTCAGCGAGCGTGTGCTGCTCCTGCCGGGCACCTGGTGTGCTGTTGCCGTGAGAGCCCGGCCCTGCTGTCACGTCCACTGTCTGTCCCCGTGTGGGGCACACATAGGGCTCCTCATGGGGGTACCTGGCTGCAGTCTCTCTTCCTGTGAGACATTATGCAGGGCGCTTCCTGGAGGGGGGGACAGCAGACACTTGTGTGCGGCTGTAGGTAACACTGCGTGTCCTTTACGCAGACAAAGGAGGGCGAGTTCACTCTGTCAGCCATGACGTCCGGAATCCGGCGGAATTGGATCCAGACCATCATGAAGCACGTGCACCCGAGCACTGCCCCGGATGTGACCAGGTGAGCCTCTGGTGCCTGGCAGCTCAGGACCCGGCACCTTCCGCCCTCCTCCGCCCGGGAACCAGAGACACCGCCAGCCCATGCCAAATGGTGTCCGTGCCACCACCAGAGCTGCACAGGGGGCCTTCGCCAGCGGGGGCCCTGTCTCGGGCCTGGCACAGGTCCTCGCTGGCTGCTGTGCTCCCTGGCTGTGTCCACAGGCCCCTGGGGTCTCTTGTCCGTGGTCTCCTCATGTCACTCCGACGGCTCTCATTTCTGTGCATCGGTACAGGCTCCCCTGAACCTCTGGGGCAGAAGCCTGGGTGGAGGGGTGTTCTCTCCGGGTTAGCGTGCTGGGCCTCGTGCCCACGGCCTGGCTGCATGCCTTCTTCCCTGTTTGGAAGGTGGAACTTCAGAGTCCACGCGTGGGGCTGCTCGGGGACACCAGGTCTCGCTGTCCTCAGTCACAGCCTCAGAGCCCCTCGACCGTGCGTTGTCATTTCGAGGACCCCACCAGTGTGTTTCTTGTGTCGGGGCCAACTACGTGGTGGCCGGTGGCCACTGTGCTGGCCCTGGCCTGCCCCAGCCCTCGTGGGTGCCGTCGCCTTCATCTGCCAGCTCCCGTGTTGAGTAGAAAGGAAGGAGAAGTAGCTAGGGGGCACTCCGGTCCTCCCCCCGCGCCCGTCGTTGGGTCTCCCTCTCGGTCGTTAAACAGGTGATCCCCAGTCGTCCAGCGTACAGCCAGGACGCCGTGGCTGGGGCAGGTTGTCCTTTGTCTGTCCCTCGGGCCCTTAGGATAGCTGGACCGCTGGTCAGCGGAGCATCGGCATGGGCATGGTGGGCCAGAGGGCACTGCCTATGGGGCGGGTCCTGTGGGGCCTCCTCCTGTGGCCCCGTGGCCCTCCCAGCCAGGAGCTCCAGGAGCCAGCCCTTCTCTAAGTACCTTGATGCCCCACAGCACAGTGAGAGAGGCGGCCCAGGCGTCTGCCCAGCAGACAGAGTTGCTGCATGGGTCCGGGGGGGTGGGGGAGTCCTGGCTGGAAGAACTCAACCTTGGGATGTCACAGGGCAAGCATCAGAAGTGTGCACGTGGGGACCAGCAGACAGCGTAATGGTTACGTCGCTGGACTCCCACGTAGTTGACCAGTTTGAGTCCCGGACCCAGCTGCTTAAAGCTACAGTAGGCATGTGTGCGTGCATGCCCAGGACCCTGAGAGGAGAATGAAGGAGAAGGGATTGCAGTGTGGCTATCCCCCTGGGGATTTCTCACTTTCTCTGGTGAGCACACATGCTTGATAGCAAAAAAAAAAATAAAGAAAAAAGAAATGCACATGTGGCCCGGCTGTCATGGCACACAGGTCATGCCATGGCCCAGAAGCCACATGGGAGGCCTAGATTCAGCTTCCGGGACGACCTGAACGTGCTGGGGCATTGGCTGATGTTAGCTGACAGAGTGGCTGGGGCACGAGGATCTCAACACGTGAGCCCCTCTCAGAAATGCCCGTCTCTGGGGCCAGCCTGCGGCTCAGCGTGAGGCAGCCAGGTCCCCAACAACCAACTGTGCAGCTCCACTCCTGGACCTAGTAGCTCAAGAAATGCACCAACTGGGGCCAGCAGGTGGCATAACGGTTACGTCACTGGACTCCCATGTAGTCAACTGCCGTTTGGAGTCCCAGACCTGGTGGCTTAAACTCACGCCAGGCATAAGTGTGTGTGTGCTCAGAATCCCCAGAAGAGAATGGAAGAATAGGGATCGCAGCGTGGCCATCCCCCCCGGGGGATGATTTCTCGCTTCTTGTCACTCTGGCAAGTACACAAGCCCTATAGAAAAATCTGTCTCTTAAAAAAGAAAGAAAGAAAAAGAAACACGCTGCATGTGTGCATGCATGCCCAAAACCCCATGGAGAGATGGAGGAGGTGGAGAGAGAAGGGGAGAATTGTGGCGTGACCACGCCCTATGGGGGATGCTTTCTCCCGCTGTCTCTGTCTTTGGGAAGTGCACACATCCTCTGGGGAATGGAAGACGAATGTCTCTTTCTTTCCTACATCGAGTTCTCTTTCTGTCTCATAAAGGAACAAACAAAAACACACTTGCGTACAGGCTCGTATGTGCTCATAGGCGCACAGGCTCAGGAGAGGGAGCCTCCCACACTGTCCCTGCTCCTGGGCCCTGTGGGCTTGAGGAGACCAGGCATCCTGTTTGCAGCGGGAGCAGACCTGGCACTACCCCTCCAGGCTAGCCTTCACTTCGTGGTGCCTGAAGTCAGCAGGTGCTTCTGCCGCTCCCCCCGCAGTGCATTGCAGCCTTCCTTCCTCTGTAGCTTTCTATCATTTGAGGATGATAGGGATCTTTTGGGGGCTGTGGAGCCAAATCCTGAGGTGGTATGGCAACATCACGACCTCAGGGGCTGCTGGGCGCAGTCTGCCTCCCGTCACCGTCTCGTGGTCTGAGGGTGCAGGCGGGGAAATCACAGGTGCTTGTGGCCGCCTGGAGTGGGGACTGGGGTCGCCATGTCCTGCTGAGCTGTGCATGTCCTCACGCCCTACAGGGCTGTGGGCTGGAGCTGGCTTTCTCAGTCCAGGGATGAGGCAGCCACCAGGCATTGCTGCTGAGACGTCAGGGGTTCTTGAGCTAGGAGCTGGCTGGCCTAGCCTCTGATGCAGTCGGTGGCATGCTGGACTGTGGACCTGCAAGCTCCGTGCCGACCGTGGTGGCCTAAAGCATGCTGGGATGCTGGGGGGCTGGAGGAAGGGTGTCATGGTGTGAATGAGCCCCAGGACGGTGCTTCTGTCCCCCTCCCCATCCCTCGTGCACACACACCTACTTTATCATGAGTTTTTTTATAAAGTAAGTTGACACCTACAGACCCTGCTACTCTACCTGGAGCGCTTTGGTTCTTACACATTTGCTGGCAGGACAGGTGGCCCCAGAGGGGACGGCGGCCGCTGCTTCCTTGGGTGCCTCTTCCGCAGGCTCCCATCTGGCTCTGACTTAGATGCAGCTGCTCCCAGAGCTCCTTGTGGCCCTCTGTCCCAGGCGTCTAACAGCTCTCCGCTGAGGGCTTGGACGAGGCGGCCTCTCCCTCAGCCTGCTCGTCGCCTCCTGGCCCTCGGTGATGTCCCTGCCTCGGCTGTGCTCAATCAGGGCTCCCCAGGAATCTGCTGTGGGGAAGATTGGGGGAGCACCAACGCCTGGGGCAGGCCGCCTCTCCCAGTGCTGCAGGACAGCAGGCCCAGCATGGCCCCCTGTGCAGTGTAGCCTGTGGCCACTCACCACCCAGCATGGCTGTGGCCAGCCCCCAACTCCTCCAGCCCTGGCAACTCGTCTCCCTTGCCTGAAGGTGCTCTTAGCCCTTCACTCTGGTCCTGCTCACGCCAATGGCCAGAGTGGACTTTTCAAAGACTTGGGGGACTAGGTGGTGGTGTAGGGGTGATAGAGCCAGACCACGTGGGAAAGAGCCTGGGTCTGCGTCCCAGAAACTTCCTGAGTACACGGAGTAAGGACCCTGTTGGGGATGCTGTTTCTCTGTCTCTCTCTCAGAAGAAATAAAAACACACATACGCACTGCAATGTGAATTAAAACCACAAAGGGATGCCATTTGGTCCTGCTTAGGATGGCTAGGATCAAAAACAAAGACCAGGGGCCAGCAGGTGGCACGGTGGATGGGATGCTGGATTCTCACATGGCCAACCAGGGTTCAGGTTCTGGACCTGGCAGCTTGCTTTCTCAAACCCTTCTCTCTCTCTCTCTCTCTCTCTCTCTCTCTCTCTCTTTCTCTCTCTCTCTCTTTCTGGTTGAGTGCATGTGCCCTATAGCAGATTTTTTAAAGTAATAATAATAATAAATAATTTCATAAATAAATAAAGAGTGACAAGTTCCGGTGAGGCTGTGATAGAAAGGAACCCTCTTACACTGTTGGTGGGCATGCAAATAAATACAGCCTCCTGAAAACAATGTGGAGACTTCTCAGGAACCTACGACAGAGTTTCCATATGAGCCAGTAATCCCACTCCTTGCTATTTACCCAGAGGACACAAAAGCACTTAATCGGAAGGACACTTGCACATCCATGTTTGGTGAATCATTATTCACAGTTGCTAAAACATGGAACTCACCTACATTTTCTTAAACTGGTGACTAGGTTGAAAAACTGTGCCACATATATGCTACGGAATAGTACTTAGCTGTAAAAAACAGTGAGATCCTGGACCAGCAGTTGGTGTAATGGCTATGTCGCTGGACTCCCATATAGTCGACTGTGGTTTGAGTCCCGAACCCGGTGGCTTACACTCACACGAGGCGCATGTGCGTGCGTGCCCAAGATCCCGAGGGGAGAATGGAGGAGAAGGGATTGCGGCATGGCCATCTCCCCTGGGGGGCCTATTTCTCACTTTCTGTCTATCTCTGTCAACTCAGAATGGATAAATATAAAAGACAGCGTTGAGGGAAGTGAATGTGAGTTTGAAAGATTCACATTGTATATCCCTGCTCAGGTTGTACTGAGTGTCTGCACTCTTTGCCGGAGGTTGAGCGGTCTGAAGATGTGATGGTGGAGAGGAGGGTGCAGGTGCTACAGACTGAGGGGTAGAGTGGGTGGTGGAGAGGAGGTGTGGGGTGCGAGGGAGGAAACATCTGACAGATGGGAAAATGTAAAGTTCTCTCTTGGAAACAAGGTCAGCAGATGGTATGGTGGTTAAGGCACTGGATCCCATACGACCGACTGTGCAGTTCAAGTCCCAGACCCAGCAGCCTGAAAATCACATGGAACACGTGTGCATGTGTACATGTCCAAAATGCAGAGAAGAGACTGGAGGAGAAGGGATTGTGGCGTGGCCTTTCCCCTTGGGGATGATTTCTCACTTCTCTTCCTGTCTCTCTCTCATAACAAACCACACAACACACACACACACACACACACCGGTCTGATCTCATTAGCCACTTATTAAACCCATGAGCCCTAGGAAGGCGGCTGGTTTTGTTCATGTGTCACCACTGCCCAGTCTAGCAATGCTACCAAGTTGGCCTTGCCACACGGGACGTGGCCAGGCCCTAGCCCATGGCGCTGAGAGGCAGGGCAGCTGGTCCTGCCTGTGGGACCCGAGGAGGCCGGGTGTGGCAGCGGGCCCAGGTGGCTCCCCTCGGTGTGCCTCTCCGGTTAGAGCACCCTTCTAGCTGGCCCAGACTGGAAGCCCCTTCCTCCTCAGAACCAGGGGTGGCTTCTGGTGAGGGTCAGGGTGGGGCCATCCTTCCCTCTCTGCACTGAGGGAGCCCCACCCAGCTGGGAAAGGGATGGTGGGGGCTTGGGACCCGCTGCTGGGCGGAGCAGGGCCACCAGGGCTGCCCCTGATGTCTACCCCACTCTGCAGCTCGTTGCCAGAAGAGAAGAACAAGAGCAGCTCCTCCCTCGAGAGCTGCTCCAGGCAAAGTGAGAAGGCCGACGTGGAAGCGGGCGAGCCAGACCCGGAGCAGAAGAGGAGCCGCGCCCGGGAGCGGCGG